ATTGTTTTCTTGGTGTGCCTCATGGTCTGGTTAACTTTTTAATGTGCGCAGTTTTTGTCTTTGTTTTCTGGCCATTGTCTCCATATGCTCAAAACTTTGCAGTCTGTTAGCTTTCATAAGTGCAGTCTGTTAGCTTTCATAAGTGCAGTCTGTTAGCTTTCATAAGTGCAGTCTGTTAGCTTTCATAAGTGCAGTCTGTTAGCTTTCATAAGTGCAGTCTGTTAGCTTTCATAAGTGCAGTCTGTTAGCTTTCATAAGTGCAGTCTGTTAGCTTTCATAAGTGCAGTCTGTTAGCTTTCATAAGTGCAGTCTGTTAGCTTTCATAAGTGCAGTCTGTTAGCTTTCATAAGTGCAGTCTGTTAGCTTTCATAAGTGCAGTCTGTTAGCTTTCATAAGTGCAGTCTGTTAGCTTTCATAAGTGCAGTCTGTTAGCTTTCATAAGTGCAGTCTGTTAGCTTTCATAATGCCAGTAGTTAGTGGTGATTGGAATTGATTATGAATTTCATTGTTGTTTCTCTCTCCATTATTGGCTGTTTTCATCTTTCTGTTTTTAAAAGATTATAATAAGGCCTCGTCTTTTTAGATTGTACTTCCTGTTTCAGGGCCATTTTTATATATATATGTATATATATATATATATATATATATATATATATATATATATGTATATATATGTATATATATATATATATATATATATATATATATATATATATATATATATATATATATATATATAGAGAGAGAGAGAGAGAGAGAGAGAGAGAGAGAGAGAGTCAAAACCCACTGCAGGCTGCGTAGAATTGTATCATGGTATGGGGCGTCGCAGGTGGACCTAGCCTAAAATGGGTACCTGGATGGCTGTCCTCGGGAAGTAAAGACGGTTGGCGTAATGCTGACCAGATTACCCACCTAGTTCCGATTGGTCTCTAAAAATTTGGGATGCTCTTCCCAAATGCCCGATGCGCGTAAGGCGTGAAAAGGGATCTTATAGAAAGGGAGAGAGAGAAAATCCTTGGTATTTTCACTTTTACATTTACAATCTTGCTACAGTATTTCTAGAGTATCAAGTTTTTGCAGATGTTGAAGGGCTTAGTATTCCTAATTCACAGATTAAATTCCATACTGTATTTCTTCTCTTAGTAAGATAGAGCAGTTGAAGTTTTTAGCCAAGAGATAGTGCATATCCACTTTTAAAATATTTTTTCAAGTATATTTCATATTATCTGTTTGTATTTGGCCAGAGTTTATATCCTTTCTCTTCTTCTTTCGTTCGCCTGAAATAAGTTGTCTATATCAGCAATTTTGTCTCTTGTATAAATTTCACTGTTCTTGTTAATTCATTCAGCGGTCTGTAGAGTTAACGTTCCACTGTTGTTCTTTCTGGGTCTTTTCTCACAATTTGTTTTGTAGTTTCTTGATTGATAATTAGTCCTCATTGTTCAACTGCTTACTATGAGTCAGAGGAGAAAAATGGACAGGACCAGAACCCAAGACCCGCTAACTGCAGATGTTAAAATCTTCTTCATGTACACCGAGCTGTAAACTCAGAAGTTGCTAGGTGGTTTTCCGCATCTGGACTTAATCTTGTTCCAGAATCTGAGTGTTACATGCAGATCTGTTTCACATATCTGGCTAATTTGTATGCAGACTCTTGGTTCCTTGCTTCTCAGGCAGATGTACTCTGATTTCAAAGGATGTCCCAACTTAGTCAACACCTACCACATGCTTGTTAGGTGTGGCAGTGCATGTATTTTTGACTTCTCCACAATGGGGCTCCATAATCCACACACCAGTGTTGATGAAATGAGCGTCTGAGATTAAAATAACTTTGATGGTGCGATTCTGCACCTAATAGCACCTTTTTTTATTTACCTTTTGAACTGTATAGTAATGGGAAGGTTAGGAGAGATCATGATTATCATAAAATTATGTTTAAGTAATTGTAAGCAGAGAGTAATAAATGTGACATCTGAGAAACTGAACTGCAGTCACATACAGGTAATGTCAAGCAGTCACACAAATCAGGTGCCTTCTTTACAGCAAAGGTTAGCAGTCCTAGATGTCTCTCTTCTTCCTGGTTGAACACACTCTGTGATTGTTGTTTTTCCATGCCTCCTTCATGTTCACCTGCGATCTGTCTCTCTTCTTCCTGGTTGAACACACTCTGTGATTGTTGTTTGTCCATGCCTCCTTCATGTTCACCTGCGATCTGTGTCTCTTCTTCCAGGTTGAACACACTCTGTGATTGTTGTTTTTCCATGCCTCCTTCATGTTCACCTGCGATCTGTTTCTCTTCTTCCTGGTTGAACACACTCTGTGATTGTTGTTTGTCCATGCCTCCTTCATGTTCACCTGCGATCTGTGTCTCTTCTTCCAGGTTGAACACACTCTGTGATTGTTGTTTGTCCATGCCCCATTCTTCATTTTCACCTGCGATCTGTCTCTCTTTTTCCAGGTTGAACACACTCTGTGATTGTTGTTTGTCCATGCCTCCTTCTTCATTTTCACCTGCGATCTGTCTCTCTTCTTCCTGGTTGAACACAATCTGTGATTGTTGTTTGTCCATGCGTCATTCTTCATTTTCACCTGCGATCTGTGTCTCTTCTTCCTGGTTGAACACACTCTGTGATTGTTGTTTGTCCATGCCTCCTTCATGTTCACCTGCGATCTGTGTCTCTTCTTGCTGGTTGTACACACTCTGTGATTGTTGTTTGTCCATGCCTCCTTCTTTATTTTCACCTGCGATCTGTGTCTCTTCTTCCAGGTTGAACACACTCTGTGATTGTTGTTTGTCCATGCCTCCTTCATTTTCACCTGCGATCTGTGTCTCTTCTTCCAGGTTGAACACACTCTGTGATTATTGTTTGTCCATGCCTCCTTCATGTTCACCTGCGATCTGTGCCTCTTCTTCCTGGTTGAACACACTCTGTGATTGTTGTTTGTCCATGCCTCCTTCTTCATTTTCACCTGCGATCTGTGTCTCTTCTTCCTGGTTGAACACACTCTGTGATTGTTGTTTGTCCATGCCTCCTTCATGTTCACCTGCGATCTGTGCCTCTTCTTCCTGGTTGAACACACTCTGTGATTGTTGTTTGTCCATGCCTCCTTCTTCATTTTCACCTGCGATCTGTGTCTCTTCTTCCTGGTTGAACACACTCTGTGATTGTTGTTTGTCCATGCCTCCTTCTTCATTTTCACCTGCGATCTGTGTCTCTTCTTCCAGGTTGAACACACTCTGTGATTATTGTTTGTCCATGCCTCCTTCATGTTTACCTGCGATCTGTGTCTCTTCTTCCTGGTTGAACACACTCTGTGATTGTTGTTTGTCCATGCCTCCTTCTTCATTTTCACCTGCGATCTGTGTCTCTTCTTCCAGGTTGAACACACTCTGTGATTGTTGTTTGTCCATGCCTCCTTCATGTTCACCTGCGATCTGTGCCTCTTCTTCCTGGTTGAACACACTCTGTGATTGTTGTTTGTCCATGCCTCCTTCTTCATTTTCACCTGCGATCTGTGTCTCTTCTTCCTGGTTGAACACACTCTGTGATTGTTGTTTGTCCATGCCTCCTTCATGTTCACCTGCGATCTGTGCCTCTTCTTCCTGGTTGAACACACTCTCTGATTGTTGTTTGTCCATGCCTCCTTCATGTTCACCTGCGATCTGTGTCTCTTCTTCCTGGTTGAACACACTCTGTGATTGTTGTTTGTCCATGCCTCCTTCTTCATTTTCACCTGCGATCTGTGTCTCTTCTTCCAGGTTGAACACACTCTGTGATTATTGTTTGTCCATGCCTCCTTCATGTTCACCTGCGATCTGTGCCTCTTCTTCCTGGTTGAACACACTCTGTGATTGTTGTTTGTCCATGCCTCCTTCTTCATTTTCACCTGCGATCTGTGTCTCTTCTTCCTGGTTGAACACACTCTGTGATTGTTGTTTGTCCATGCCTCCTTCATGTTCACCTGCGATCTGTGCCTCTTCTTCCTGGTTGAACACACTCTGTGATTGTTGTTTGTCCATGCCTCCTTCATGTTCACCTGCGATATGCGTCTCTTCTTCCAGGTTGAACACACTCTGTGATTGTTGTTTGTCCATGCCCCATTCTTCATTTTCACCTGCGATCTGTGTCTCTTCTTCCTGGTTGAACACACTCTGTGATTGTTGTTTGTCCATGCCTCCTTCATTTTCACCTGCGATCTGTGTCTCTTCTTCCTGGTTGTACACACTCTGTGATTGTTGTTTGTCCATGCCTCCTTCTTTATTTTCACCTGCGATCTGTGTCTCTTCTTCCAGGTTGAACACACTCTGTGATTGTTGTTTGTCCATGCCTCCTTCATGTTTACCTGCGATCTGTGTCTCTTCTTCCTGGTTGAACACACTCTGTTATTGTTGTTTGTCCATGCCTCCTTCTTCATTTTTACCTGCGATCTGTGTCTCTTCTTCCAGGTTGAACACACTCTGTGATTATTGTTTGTCCATGCCTCCTTCATGTTCACCTGCGATCTGTGCCTCTTCTTCCTGGTTGAACACACTCTGTGATTGTTGTTTGTCCATGCCTCCTTCTTCATTTTCACCTGCGATCTGTGTCTCTTCTTCCTGGTTGAACACACTCTGTGATTGTTGTTTGTCCATGCCTCCTCAAAGTTCATGATTTGTGTGGTGTTCTAAACAGGGGGCAAACCACTCTGATAAAACTAGAGTCAGATCAAATAAGCGCCAATGCAGTGTCAATCCTTTCAACTTTAAACACAAGAAGATTCTTGCAGGCTTTAGTCATGAAAAAGGGGGGGGGGGGGTGTAAGCATATAGCTGATAAGTGCAGTTGGAGATCTGGTACTTACCACAAAGTGTCTTACAGTAGCTCTGAAACAAATGGCGCTGGTATTGCATAACATTGCTTACAGACAACAAAAGGTCCTACCTTTTTGTTATATTTAATGGCCTTTTTCAAATCACCTCAGCACAATATTTAATTTCTGTTACGTCAATCTCCCCACAGATGGCTCAGATGCTGGCGAAACCTGGATCGACAGGACAACTGCCCATCCTACCAAGTCATATTACACGGGCCGCAGGTGCTGGTAATAAGTCTGGGGTAAGCTTTTTATTGACATCTTTGTTTGAAGTGTTTACTTTGCAGTTTCAGGTTAGGTGAATGTTTTTCTTAGTTTACAGAAAAAGAGGTGGTCTGGTCAAATAGTTTGAATATTGGGCTCTCATGTAAGAGACAAGAGTTCAGATCCTCAGTAAAGTTATGGGAAATTTTTCTTCTTCTGTCAGCAGTAAATATAAAAATCAGCCTGCACTAGCAATGTAGCAATAAATTCTAAAGCTCAAAAGACACGCACATCCCCACCCACCCCTTTTTTTTTAAGCACTATCCAGTTCTTTCCGTTTTTTTTTTTTTTACAGTTACAGATCACCCTCACCACTGGTTAAACAATTCAGTCACTAAGTGATCTGTTCCCCTCACTATACTCCTTGGGGTGTAGCGGCTGGAAAATTCAGTTCTGTGTTTATCCTTCTTTGCCTTCTCACGCAGTGCTCATGTCTCACCATACTGTTTTAGATTTTTGTTTAAAGTGTGCTTATATTTCAGGTCGGCATCTGTGGCTTAGGCATTGCATGTGTGCTTGGTAATGGTGGTGTGCCGGGTTCGATCCCAGCTGCGGACGGTTTGTCTTACGTTGGTTTCAACATTAGTACTGAGAGCTGACCATTCAATGGCACTGGCAAACTGTTGAACGTAAAATTTGTCTAGAAAAACCACAACAGCCAACAAATGCTGGGGTTGGTTTTGCAATGTCCAGGAAAGGATATGGAACTAAATTTTATAGTTCAGGTTATCATTTAATTCATGCAGACATCTTACTTGTGTTAAAGCATTCAATATGTCTTGGGGGGGGGGGGGGGGGGGGTGTGGTTAATTTACTTATCTGGCATCTATTAAAGGGTGGCATCTATTAAAGGGTGTAATGGTGTGCATACTCGTATACTTACAGTTTGGTTAAAGATTCAGTTCCATTTAGTTGGATATTTGGGATTGTTTGTATTAGAACGTCTATGGGATGGATAAAACATCACAAATTGTTTTGAAAGTTGCATGTCTATTACAGGACAGTCAAACCAACTCTAGTATTTGTTAGCTGTTGTGTAAATTTACTAAGCAGTTTCTAGGGGATTTGACCGACCCTAAACACTCAGGGGAAAGGCAAGACAAATATACAGGCAGTTACTAGTACCATCATATTTGGAACTTTTCGTTTGCTGCTGAAGACGGAGACGGAGCACTTATGTGGGTGCCCCGAGTGCTGTGATGTCGAGGTCACACGGGATGTCATTTTCCCAAAACTCTCAGCTATTGCAGCCTAGCTGTGAACCACAACACAACGTGCCAACCACCCTTTTGAGAGTGAAGAAGAATAAAGATATTAATATACCATTTCTATTCAAGGATTCCTGCACTTGTGTGGCTCCTAAAATGTGTATAGCCTAATCACATATACAATAAATATACATAATAAATTCTCTTTAGTGGATAATTAACAACACTTAACTGTATGAGGTGAAAGCTAGTTGATCTTTCAAAGTATAGTCTTCAGAAGGCATAAAGAGATGACAGTCCATTCATTTGAGCTTGTTAACATCTCTCTAGAGTTTATACTTAACAGATGCTGGTGTAGGGAATTATTCTTGTTCTTTGCTCTGCATGTTTTGGTCAGTGTCTAGCAAATGTTCAAACTAACATTTTATCCTTTTACTAGTGCATTCATCTTCTAATATGAATTCATTCAAGAGGAACACTTGCTTAACATGAACAAAATTTTGGTCCCAGTCGGGATATTTTATTATTAGTACCCCGTTTGGATGCGTTTAAAAAAAATATGAACTCAAATTTCTCTCTCTAAGCATTCTTAAGGAGGTTTTACTGTATTAAAATAGGCCTATATACGCCACAGACGTGAAAAGGGTCCTTTATTTATGCTTTTATGGTGCTATGTTCCCAGCGCACAGTGTTCATCACAGCTGACCATTTGATTTGCTTTGTGCCTCCTTGTTTATTTTTTAGTAGTTATTTAACTGCTGAGATTTTTTTTGTTTTTTGTTGTTGCTGTTTTTCTTTAGCCTGTGAATGACCGACTTCTCAATGTGTGTTAATCCATCTGCTTTTTTTTGGTGTGTGTGTGAGATTAAATCTTCTGGATTATTTCTGTAGAAGTTATTGAGAAAAACTAGCATTGGCGTATGGGGTGGGAACTCAATTTTGCAGTTCCAACATACTGGGTATGCTCAAGACTGAACTTTATTGAGCCTGACATTATTATACTGGATGCGTATATAAGGCTTTGATATAAACGGGCACAATGCAGTCATATCTTCGGATGTATGCAGAAGAAGAAACTAAATGTCTAGGAAAATCCTACAAATTATTTGGCTGAACAGGATCACAGATAAAGATTTCAAGAGGAAAACGAAATATTCATCTGTGGCAAACATCAAAGGACGAAATTGGAGATGGCTTGGACATTTTTGCAGAATGTCATGTGGCACTTTATAAAGGACAGCTCTCCGATGGATGGCAGATGCACATGAGATGTGGATGACCTAAGGAAACCAGGAATTAGCAATTTTAAAACCAGAAGGTTTTCACAGCAGAAGTGAGATAGGGTTGAGGGGATGCAGGTAACGATTGTCCCATAATGGTTACTGTTGTTGGAAAAGCTGAGAGAGAGAGAGGGGGGGGGGGGAAATGTCAGGCTTTTCACATTCTGGGCTACAACATTCAAGATGGGATGGCCACCTCCTTTCCACATCACCTTTCCTTCCCAGCAATTTTACCATGTAATTTAAAATATTATTGATAGATAAGCACTGAAAAAGAAAATGATTGTGACTTTTCTTGCACACCCATGTTGTAATGCTATTTCTTACACATATGGTACAGCATATCATAGAAATTTTTTTTGTAGATCTGTCTTACGCATATGGTACATCCTGCCTTACACATTTTGTGTCTTACGCATATGGTACATCCTGCCTTACACATTTTGTTGTAGAACTAAATCTTACACATGTGGTACATCCTATTTTACACATTTTGTTCAACTGTGCCTTACACATATTGTTGTTAAACTGTGCCTTACACATTTTGTTGTACAACTTTGCCTTACACATTTTGGTGTAGAATTAAACACAGTTTTTGTTTGTTGAACTATATCTTACACATTTCATTATAGAACTATATCCTACGCTTTCGTGCGGATCGGAAGGTCTTGGATACTCTCCCTGTCAGAGCCGGACTTGTTTTTAAAATGACTTTTGACTCCCAGGTCTACCCAGCCTTGAGTGGGTACCGGGTGCAGTCCCAGGAAGAAAAGGCAGCCATTGTTCTGCTGGCCACATAATCCATCTTGTGTCGATAGGTCTATAAAAATATAGGTCTTACCCTATATGTATTAAGACGTGGCAAAGGGACCTTTACTATACTCTACAGATTTTTGTTGAACTATATATTGGACTTGTTTTTGTAGAACTCCGTCGCAGAAACATTTTTTTTGTAGAACTATACCTTACACGTTTGGTTTTAAAACTACATCTTACACAGTATGCTGTAGAACTATCTATGTTATGTTCTATTTTTACACATTTTGTTGTAGAACTGTATCTTATACATTTGTTCTAGAACTATATTTTACATAAATGGTACAGCCTTTCCTTACACATTTGGTTTTAGAATGATCTGTTGCAAATTATGTTTTAGAACTTCATATTTTGCTGTAGAACCTTTCACATTTTGTCATAGAACTCTTGTCTTACACAGATTGTTATTGAACTAGCTTCCACATTTTATTGTGTTCATTTGTAGAACCATATCTTACACATTTTGTTGTAGAGCTATAGCTTTCACAGTTTGCTGTAGAACTACTATTTTACACATTTTGTTCTAGAACTATCTTACGCATATTGTGTGTCCTATCCTACACATTCTGTTGAACTATATATTACTCATTTTGTTAGGGATCTTACACCTATGATTTTACTTACACATTTTGTTATAGAACTATATCTTATACTCTTACAACCCTATATATGTTCACAGTTTACCTGTATACTATTCTAGGTGTATTTCTTAATTACACGTACTTCTTAGCTATATGTATTTGAGTTTACACTAACTTGCATGTTGATTTTGTCGTCAGAGTGATTTGCCACCCAAAACTGACTCGGTAAGATGCTTTACAAATTTAGGCCTGACATACCTTTTCTATTTAACATTACACACCTGCTTTGGCACTGTTATCCCGTTTAAAACCATTTGTTTTTCTTCTGGGCTATTTGGCATAGCTGAGTTATGTTTCTATATCCATGTAGAGTCAAGGTGTTGCATAATTTGATGCCTTTTCACTCTAATACTTTATGATAAGTACCATGAAGCTGATGTTAGTACACATACACCCTCTGATATTTAAGAGTTATATTCAGTATATCACTCTTGTATGCAGGCCCATATTAATGATGTATGCTGTCGCTGTGCTGTCATTTATATTAAGCACCTCCCACCCACTCTTTCTTTAGCTAAACTTCATCGTTGTTGTTGCCGTACTATTTTAATGCCAGAATGCTTCTATTGCCAAACTGTTTTAAAGTCAGAATGCTTATCTACTGTGGGTTTCGTAGTAATAATAATAGCAATAACAATGTAAACATTTTTTTAGTACTAGTTGTTGTTTTGATGCTCTCCAACACTTTGCCGCCGTCTGCAGCTGCACATGTTGCAGATGCCTGCATACAAGTATCCATATTATGCCTGAATATATCTCTACGTGTAAGAATCCAAACTCTGCTTGAAAACGGCTCTATACATAAGTGTCCATATTATGCCTGAGTATGGCCCTCTGTATAAGTATCCCTACTGTGCCTGCATACAGCACTATGTATAAATATCCATACTATGCCTGCATACAGCCCTACAAATAAGTATCCATAGTGTATAATATAGACACAAAGAGCTTTCCTGCCAGCCCCAAGGTCTAGGGTTAAATTTTGCATCTTCTGCAGATTTGTATAAACTTAGATGGTCAGGTTGACCCAGCCTAACAATGGATGCTAGGTAGTAACCTGAAAAGTCAAAGTGGATGGTGTGATGTTGACCATGTTGAGTGCTGATTGGCCTGTACAAATATGGGTCAAGCACCATATACCTGATGCGCCACTGGTATCGAAAGGATCCTTTACTTTCTCATCTTTACTGTTTTGTATATTACTTTACTGATGTCCCTCTTGTTATCATCAAGCTGTCGTGTGTTACACACATCGTAGAGTTACTGTCTAGTATCCCATTATGTTTTGTTCTCTGTCAAAACTCCCATTCTGTTCTATTCTATCAGTCCTTTCAATAACATGGATGGAATCCGAACCAACACTATTGGCTTCTCTCAGCATTTATTTTAGGGTTTTTCTCGTGTGTCCTCACTTCCAGAATCCGCCAGTATCCCATTTTTATGCCTGTTTGGTAATTTTTTCTCTCAACACCCAATTTAGCACCACCTTCTTTGACTTATTACTGTCAAAAACAGTGGTTTGTCTGGACATTGCTCACATTTCTTCTCTTTTTATGAATTCATCCCATTTAATATTCATTAATTCATTCAGTCATTAATATTCAAATATATTTTTTATTCTTTTTCTTTAGTGGTTCTTCAACATTCACTAGCATATCATATCAAAACCATTCCATATTCATATCTTAATTATATTAGTGTGCTTGCCATATTAATGTCCCTGCCATATTAGTGTCCCTCTTATATTAATGTCCCTCTTATATTAAAGTTCCTCTTATATTAATGTCCCTCTCATATGTGTCCTTCTTATATTAATGTCCCTATCATATTAGTGTCGCTTTCATACTAAAGTCCCTATCATATTAATGTCCCTGTCATTTTAATGTCCCTTAAGATAATGCAGAGTGGCAAACTCTGACAAGAATGGGTTGACAGCATCTAGAAATCCCACCTCAAGAAACTGTCTTAGCTGTACACTCCAGGATACGCTGGAGACAGGAAATAAAAGAGCTGACAGAATGACCGTGGCTGCAACCGTTAGTTAAGGAAGAAGTAAGGAAAGGGCAAGTGTACTGAAAGTGCTGCGTTCCAGAGATGTTGAAAAAATGAATCTTGAGACAATGAACCACCAGCTGGAAATAAGTAATAAACAAGGACAGGCATGCAGAAACTGGTTGCAGGGCAGAGAAAGAAAATATGCCAGTCAACTCCTACTGAGTCCAGTGAACATAGAGACACTGTGATGGCTGCTGCACCAGAGGATCAGTGTGTTAGGATATAGGATGAGTAACAAGTAATATTAATGTCCCTACCACGGTAATATCCTTATCATATGAATATCCTAACCATATTAACATCCCTGTCATATTATCTTTCTTTTTAAATATTTCACATTTAAATTTAGTGTGTATGTTAGTGAGCTTGTAAGACCCTATTAACACAAATTCCAGAGGACCAAAAAATCAAGCATTCACTTTAAAACAAATAAGTGCTAGCTGGGGACTAATAATATGAATCCCTGCTGATACCAGCGTTGTGTTCATGTTAACCGGGTGTTCTTAAGTGAATTCATGTTAACAAGGTTGTACTCGATAACCAATGCAATACTCATAATAATATCTCTGGTTTCATAATTTGCCTTTTTTCCTTAAGTAGCTGCCAAATATTTTTAAACTTTCATGAATTTTCTTTCTAGCCAGTTTTGATTCTGTTTTCTTGTCTGTATGAATGACCTATGATATTGAATAGTATATAGTACCACATGATAGGGTGAGATCTATAATTTAATCTGTAATATTATTCCTGCTTTTGCACTATAGTATCATTGATATCATCCTCTGAGATAGTTGCATAGTTTGCTACAGTCCGTTTTCCCCATTTAGCTAAGTCCTTACTGGTATTGCTGTTTAGTCTAAGGCTGTTAAGGCTTTTGTTATGGTTTAATCCGAACTATTCCCTGGTTTAGTCTTCGGTTGTTGTTTGGTTTGAACAATGGATTAGCATCATGGTACGAGGGTAGTAACACGTAAGTACCCCGTTCTACTTCTAACTCAATCCTGAGTCCGAAGAATCTCAGTGCAGTGCATGAACTGCATAGCACTGATGAGGATCCTGAACTACTTTGGCTAGATGTTTAACTCATATTTTTTGCCTGGGCAGCGCTATTAGGCTGCTCTTGTTAGATTTTCAACTGCCAAGGGATTTTTTTTTTTTTGGGCATGCCCAACAATACACACCGGTGCCCGATATCACTACCCAGAGACCAGGGAAAATTAATAAGTCTATGTGAAAAAAATCCCAGCCTTCACCAGGGCCTGAACCTGGTACCTCTAGCACTCGAGGTGGATGCCATGCCTCAAGACCACTCAGCTCCCCTGTTGTGCTATTGGTAGTTTAACCTGTAAGGATATTACCTATTTGGTATAATTGTAGTAGTGACATTAATTGATACAGTTAAACCTCAACTGATAATCCTTTAGTTGAACCTGCACTTACATTTCCCATTTAGCCTGAACTGTTGCATTATTTGTGGCAGTTAAACTTGCATTGATATTCCCCATTGTCTGAAGTTACATTGTGTTATTTGCTATACCAGCTAAACTTTTACTAACATTCCAAGTAGTACATTATTTGCTTGCATTTGTTGTTTATGACTGATAATCTGAAGCTTTCGAGCTCTGCATCTCAATTTGATTGATATCTTTTCATAGTATTTGCTGTAACTCATCACGTACAATCTATTTATTTGCATGTAGTTGCACTACTTGCTACCGTGTTGGCACTTTGTCCTTTTACTAGACAATAGTATTCCTTTTCTCTGCAGCACAAAGCCTGGGCAGTATTGTAGTGATCACGTGTTTACTGCCATGAAACCCAACCCTCCACTAACAGACTGTCTAGTTTAAACTAGTTACGCCACCTGCAACATATACTGACGTGCCTTGTAAATGCAACATTCAGTGCCTTGAAACCTTGCTTATATATTCACTGTTCTGTCGGTCTAGTTATTTATTAATTATACTTATTCACACATTCCCCCATTAAGTCTAGTATAGTTGAATGTATTAGCAGTGTTCGCCTAGTAGGTAGATGTTTGCTTTCTGGCCAAAGGATTATGGTTCAGATCTGTATCGTTACGTGTTTTTTTTTTCTTCTTTCTTTCAAAATTCACCTTGGTTCCCTGGTGGACATAGCCTAAAATGGCTACAATAGAAGCCAAATCATCAATTAAGTTCTGATTAGTCTATAAAAATATAGGTCTAGTCCTGTATGCCCAATGTACCAAGGGTGTGAAAAGGGTCCTTTACTTTGTAGTTACATACTTATATTTGCAGAGAAGTGGCTGGCCAGATAGTTAACACTGAGCTCTCACGGAGGAGACCTGGGTTAAAATTCTCACTAAAATGGACATTTTGTTTTTGTTGCGGGCACAAAAAAATGCCTAACCTGCACAGTGCAATGCAACTACAATAGTCTTGCAGCATTATGTCAGCAGGCTTCTAAAAAGTGGTTTTTATATTTGCATCATTTACACCTAGGAAATGCAGCCAGGATCCTCTATTTCATCAAGATATAATGGCATCGCTGACTACCTTAACAACTTAACTGATAATCACTGTATGCTTTCACTAAGTTCATAATGTGTTACTGTTCTTATTCTTTTTTTCTTCTCTGCATTCGCTATAAGCTGAGATGGAAAATCCTGGTTGTTCATCTTGACTTCGGTCTTGTTCCCAGGTTTGATATTTTCATGAACTCCATTTGACAGAGCTGGCTTCTTTGTGTGCAGACTGCTGGTTCCTTACCCGTGGGGCAGATCTACTCCAACTTTTTAAGAATACTAGATCCTGTCTACCTTGAGCGGGCCTCTGGTGGGAGCCTGTCCAGTGATGGCTGAGAGGTGACAATGGGTCTTGACCACAGTGACCGCAGGTCCTAGTTCACCACCTGTGCATCCCAGCTTCATTTTAACACCTACTCAATATATGCATGTGTTTCTGATTTGCTGTTGTTTTCTTCCAAGTTGTAAGCCTTCTTTCTCCACTTCTTTTGCCGTTTATTACAAAGTGATCCATAGTCTGGGTGTTCTAAGTCCAGGAGGCATCAGTGTCCAGCATACCTTCATCTAAACAATTTTACTATTGTGACATTTTTTTTTAAATGCCTATATTTTTTTTTTATATAAATTTTTTTTTTTAAAATTCTTTTCTCCTATCAATGCCAGTAATGGATCATTAACATTTGTATTTCTGCTACTCTTGTATTCCTGCTACATTTTGTTTTTATAGTTTCTCACATGATCCCTTGGTGATTGGAGTACTTTGCCCTTCGTTATTATTGTGTTAAACAGTTTATTTAGAGAAAGGCCCTGGCCGAAATGTTGATTTGTCTTGTTTTGTGTGCATATTTTTCTGCTTCCCCAAATCATTAAGCTTTTTAGTCACAGATTAACTACTAAGTGAGACAAGGCCTTGATCAGCTCATAGTTGTTTGGCTTGTACAGTTAAATCATTTTTATAGGACCCGTTAGCCAACTCCAAGGCCAGTCTTATCTTTCTTCTTCTGCCTTTAATCTCCCAATGGAGCATAGGCCATCAGCTAACTCATGCGGAATTGTCCTGTCCTTTATTCTGTGCAGCTCAGCTCATGACCTTCCTTTTTTTTTTTTTTACTTTACCTGCTAGTTTCCTTCTTTAACATAACCTTCTAGTTCCTTCTCCGTTTTCTTTTTTCTTTTTGAGTCTGCCTTTATCTTTTGCCCCTGTGGATTCCAGGGCAAAGCCCTTTTAGTCAGATTGTTCTCTTATCCAATGCCAGCCTCTTTTCACCTCTTGATTCCCTGATTATCTTCCAGAGCTACACGTTAGTGATTCTGTCATGCCATTTGATTACTTCTATTTTGTGCAAGCATCGGTTATAAATTCAGGGCGCTTCATTATTATCCTTAGTTGTCTTTTGTTGAATGCTTAGTAAGGTGCATTTGTACGTACACCCCCCCCCCTCCTTTTTCCCCCCAAGAAATCCAGTAGCATACCAATGTGTAAAAGTAAAGGACCTTTTTATACAGCAGTAGTGCATGGGCCATATGATGCTGAACTCATAATTGTCATAGTTGAAGAGCAGCTGGTTAGTTTAAGTGCGGTGGAATTTGGAACTGTGGAGTAAATTAGGTTGCAGTGGGATAGATTATGTGCATTTGGTTAAGATCAGCTGGGTATGTTTGGATGTCACTGGATAAGTTAGGATGCTTGAGGTTTGTAGGATAAGTAGGCTGCAGTATGGTGTACACGCTACAGTGCAGTGGGGTATGTTAGGGGGCAGCTTGGTAAAATTGATAGTAATTAGTGTTATTGGATAAGTTATGGTGTTATTGGGTAAGTTATGGTGCACCTTGATTGGTTCAAGATACCACTGGGTAGGTTAAGGTGTAAACAGGGTAAGTTTTCCTCTTTAATTCAATCCTTGAGTTTTTAAAAAAAAAAAAATGCTACATTGAGCCTACTTTCATTAAGAGAAAAAAAACACTTCTAAATGCATGTAGCATTGTTTCTGTAGCAACAGCATACTGCATGATGCTAATGACACCACAATAACAGACTGTTTTTAAAACAAAAACTATTTTCAGAAATCATCTGCAGGTAGTCATGGCTAAAAGTATTTTCAGTAACATGAGAAAAATTATTACATTTAGAGAGATAAAGTGTTAGAAATGAAAATCATCTAATGTAATGCTTACTTTGGGCACACAAACCTTGACAGTGAACAGGTCATTAGAAAGTCGAATCGAGATCCCGTAAAGAGGTTTAAGATTTGGAACACATAATTTTGCCTTTGTGGACAGGCACCACAAAATATTGTCACATACATGCTGTCTGCCACAGACATGCTTTATGCCACAGATATGCTCTCTGCCCCAGACATGCTCTCGGCCCCAGACATACTCTCTACATGCAGTAGGAGATCCCATTCCTTTAAAAAAAAAAAAAAACTCAACCTGCAGCGAGCTGCCAAGTCTCTGGTTATTTTCTGGTCTACTGGGCATTTATCATTCCAGTGGATCCCATGCTATATTGATCAGCTTTTTCTCGCAGGGAGAATTAAAAAGAAACTATTATAGCTTACACAGATGAAGTTATGTTTCATAGAGGCCAAACAATTGAAGGCACAGCCCTGGAGATGTGAATATGGGACTGAGACAGTCATATTTTATGGAAACAAGAGCAGTCAAAATACAGAGGTTCTGTAGAAACAGTTAATTTTTTTTTTTTTTAAACGACTTGTTGAATTAAGTTTTCTTGAATATGAAAGTGAAGTATTTCTACCATGTGAAAATAAGTTTTGAAAAACCATTCCGAAAGGAGAAGTTGAAAGCAAATCAATGAGAGGTACACAGAGTTAAAATTCAAGGATAACAAGAAATGGATAAAGGGCTGTCAGAGAATGTATAAAAAGGACGAGAGACAGAAGGCCCCATTCAGTGCAGTAGGAAAATATTGTTTATGCCATCTTGTTTTGCATCTTATCTTTATTTATGCTTGTAACCACTAAATAGGCAGCCGGAGTCATAGTAATGTATTGGCTAGATGACCGAAGGTCTTGAATTTAAGTCCACAAACGGGCAGATTTTTTTTCTGTTTTCAAAAATTGACCGTGGCTTCCAGGATGACCCAGTTTAAAATAGGCAGCATGTAGCGTCCTGAAAAATAATGGGCGGTTGGTATGATGTTGCCTTTATCGGCCATTGGTTCAGATTCACCATCATAAGTTCTCGTTATGCCTAGTGGCACATGAGGCTTCAGAGAGGACTTTCCATGCTTTCCTGTCCTGTGCAATCTTCAATGCAGTTTTCCATGTCAAAGATGCCGCACTCAGGCCACTTTCCAATGTTCGTCTCCATGTTGTTTTTGGGCGCCCCTTTTTTTTTCTCTTTCCCTCTGGTGTCCATGTGAGAGCTGTTTTGGCAGGTATATCAGGATTCATTCTCATATCGTGGCCAAGCCATTTCCATCTTCTCTTGGTTATCATGCTGTCTACAGTTTCTTGGTTTGTGACTTGAAGTAGTTTAGTGTTTGAGATTGTCAGAAATTTTTTTATAATTCTACGTAGACATGTGTGGTGGAAGGTGGACAGCTTGTGTGCATCCTTTTTGGTCATTCTCCAGCATTCTGCTCCATGAAGAAGAACTGGTAAAATGATGCTCTTGTAGAGTCGGAGTTTTGTTCCTCTGTAGTAACTGAATTGGTTCAGATTGGTCTATACAAATAGGAGTCTAGGATTAAATGCCAGTGACACACACAAAAAAACATTCATTTTATTAATTTTATCATACTTTTGATCACTAAAAGTATTATCAATTTTACCAATGTATCCCCATTGTTCTAGAAAAGGTATCGATGTGTTTAAAAAAAAACATCCAAAGACAGCTTGTCACAAATTTCAGATCTGGGAAATATAAGTCTAGATAAGTAGAACTAATCTGCTTCACAGTGCTACCATCACGAATGACAAAATAAGCATTTTGGCTAGAAAGCCTTCGTCAGCATACATCATCAGTTAGCAGGGATGATGCAATTGCAGACAACGGTACATAAATTCAGTTATCTCGCTTGAACACTAGAAACATTTGTGTGCGCATGTTGTTGCAGGATGTGGATCTGATGCGGATCTGTTTGCCTGAAGCCATAATAAAAATCATATCTTGTACCAGACAGTGGCAGCAATTCTTGTTAAAATGATCATTTTTTTCCATCTTTCTAGGGCAAAAATACAATTTCCGACTTGTACGATTCATGACATTTGTGTTAGCCATGCGGCCCTAAATCCTCAAGCTAAAGACCTTCTTACATTCATTTATTTAGTTGATTGAATTTTGTCTGCACGAGGCAGATTGGTTGCAGTAGATCCCCAACGTTCTGTCTTTCACCCTGGTTTTACATTTTTTAGGATTGCTGTTGCCCTCTCCTAATGTCATCATCCCAATTGTATCACTGTCTGCCTCTTGCTCACTTGCCTTCAGCTTTTCTTGCCGTCATGGTTTTATTTTACAGTTATGTCTTAATATGGCCGAAATATTTCACTTCTCTTTTTTTTTTCTTCATTAATTCTTCGTTTCTAGTCTCTTCAATACCTCTGTTTAATTGTTTTGTTTCCGTGACTTTCCCTACATTAAACACGCTCAGAAGTTTTAAACACAGGCAGTAATGACAGATTTAGAAGTCTATGTATCTAGATAATAAATATTCATTATCTCCACAGTTCAACATAAAAGACCTGGAAAAACAGGGAGAATACTATCTGCAGTCACAACAGCTCCATGCCGCCAATGCTAACACTCGCCTGGAACACATGTGTGCCCTCGACATTGACTCAGAACCTAGTCGAGTTCGCATGACAGGAATCATCTGTACCATAGGTCAGTCTATATTAGACGTGTTGCACCTGCAAAATGTAAAGTCATTCAGAGTGGTGTGTGTATGTGTAAATAAAAATTAAAAAGATTATCAGCAAGGGACCCTTTTGACCCCTTTAGTGCATCTTATAGCTGTTGACACTAGTGGTTGTCTAAATATTTTTTTTTGTTCACCTTTCTTGAATTCACTTCATAGTCCCTGTGTGGGTCTTGGGGGCTTCCATTGTGATGAAAACAAGAATAGACTCACTGCCTCCCTAACATGCATATAAGCCAGAGTGCCCTGCCTCAGTGGCAAGCAACTGCATATAAATAACCCAGTAAAACGGGTGTGCACATAAAACTAGGGCCATGGCACAAAGCCAAAGTCAGATGGACAAACAACCAGGACTTTATGCAGAGCTTACAGCTGGTGAGCGAAAAAAAAAAAAAAAAAAAAAAAAATCAATTTATTGTTTAGTTTCTCTAGGTATTTGTTTTTAAATATATTAAACTTTAATTCCTTGTCTCTCTCTGGCGTATTTTGAGCTGTAACATTAGAATTTAAATATATGTCGTGGTTTTAAAACTATAATCTAGAGTTCCATATTTTTTTAAAAGCTTTTTTTTTAAATGTATTAAACTTTAATTCCTTGTCTCTCTGGCATATTTTGAGCTGTAACATTAGAATTTAAATATATGTGGTGGTTTTAAAACTATAATCTAGAGTTCCATATTTTTTTAAAAGCTTTTTTTTTAAATGTATTAAACTTTAATTCCTTGTTTCTCTGGCATATTTTGAGCTGTAACATTAGAATTTAAATATATGTGGTGGTTTTAAAACTATAATCTAGAGTTCCATATTTTTTCAAAAGCTTTTTTTTTAAATGTATTAAACTTTAATTCCTTGTCTCTCTGGCATATTTTGAGCTGTAACATTAGAATTTAAATATATGTGGTGGTTTTAAAACTATAATCTAGTTCCATATTTTTTTCAAAAGCTTTTTTTTTAAATGTATTAAACTTTAATTCCTTGTCTCTCTGGCATATTTTGAGCTGTAACATTAGAATTTAAATATATGTCGTGGTTTTAAAACTATAATCTAGAGTTCCATATTTTTTCAAAAGCTTTTTTTTTAAATGTATTAAACTTTAATTCCTTGTCTCTCTGGCATATTTTGAGCTGTAACATTAGAATTTAAATATATGTGGTGGTTTTAAAACTATAATCTAGTTCCATATTTTTTTCAAAAGCTTTTTTTTTTAAATGTATTAAACTTTAATTCCTTGTCTCTCTGGCATATTTTGAGCTGTAACATTAGAATTTAAATATGTCGTGGTTTTAAAACTATAATCTAGAGTTCCATATTTTTTCAAAAGCTTTTTTTTTAAATGTATTAAACTTTAATTCCTTGTCTCTCTGGCATATTTTGAGCTGTAACATTAGAATTTAAATATGTCGTGGTTTTAAAACTATAATCTAGAGTTCCCATATTTTTTCAAAAGCTTTTTTTTTTAAATGTATTAAACTTTAATTCCTTGTCTCTCTGGCATATTTTGAGCTGTAACATTAGAATTTAAATATGTCGTGGTTTTAAAACTATAATCTAGAGTTCCATATTTTTTCAAAAGCTTTTTTTTTAAATGTATTAAACTTTAATTCCTTGTCTCTCTGGCATATTTTGAGCTGTAACATTAGAATTTAAATATGTGGTGGTTTTAAAACTATAATCTAGAGTTCCATATTTTTGTCAAAAGCTTTTTTTTAAATGCAAATTGAAGGACACTTTTCAGGATTTGAGCTACCTACAGCATTTGCCAGCCCAATTTAAACCAAAAGACCAGTCAGCACTGGGTTTGCTTAGCTAGCTCGTTGAAAGACACCTGAAGATGTAAGCACATTTCTGACTAGGGTTTATATTTACTTTAGAAAACATGTACACAAATTATAAACCACAAAATTTAGTGACAAAGTCCAACAGAAACTCAAACTTATGTTGAATGAAGCGAGAATAGGAATGGGTGTTGAGTAATGAAATTAACGTAGGAACAGATAAATGAGTTACTGTTTATGTTAAGATGAAAGAATGCTGAACAGTGATTGATGCCTGCTGGTTTGAGAACATTCTAAACTTTGAGGAAGGACAAGAGGTTTGATTGCCGGAGCAGTATTTTATAGCAGGGACAGAAATGTTTTGCTATTAATGTCACAATATCTATTGAATGTACACTCCTGTAACTTCTGTTTCCAGGTCCTGCTTGCAAAGAAGTGCCAATGCTGCAGAAGATGATCGTAGAGGGAATGAACATTGCCCGTTTAAATTTCTCTCATGGTTCTTATGATGTGAGTTTGTGTGTTTTCCTTTGGGGATAAAATTTGTTAGTCATCATGCTTTGGAATATTGTCTAAAAGTTTTAAAGAGACAATGACTCCTAACATCATCTATGGTATATGTATGATTGTGTGGTGTAGATGGGACTGAGTGCATTTTAGGTTGTGTGTGGCACATGTTTTATATAGTAATATATACATTTTATTGTATATTTAAGAATACTTTTGTATTAAGTATTAATCTAATCCTTATTATACTGCAGGTACTTAAAATGCATTGTAGATACATAGTTTGAAAGATGAGCGTTTTTGAGGGCTGAATGTAAGATGAGCCTTTGTGGCCGATTTGTGCCCCGCTTTGATTCTTGTTTGTTTATTCGTTCTGTGAGGTGGAGAAATCTGTAATTGTTTCCTTGTTCTGCCATACAAAGTTATCACTTTATAATGTGTGAGTCTTGTCATGCAGTCGTATATGTCTTGTTAGTCCTGTAATAGGCATACTTTGCTTGTTACTCATAGTTTACACAATTATTTATTTTTCTCTGACAAAAAGTCCTAGATTTATATAATTTCAATTTCTACCTACATTTTCTTTAGCACAGTGGTTCTCAACCTGTGGTTGGGAACCCTTTTGGGGGTCGAATGACCTTTTCACAGGGGTCACCTAGACCATAAAAAACACATGTTCACTGAAGTGATGAAGTAGCTATAAAAATAATATTATGGTTGGCGGTCACCACAACATGAGGAACTGTATTAAAGGGTCGCAGCATTAGGAAGTTGAAGAGCCACTGCCGTAGCAGAAAGAGACAATTTAACCAGGAGAGCACTTGTCAGTACAGCATTGTGCTACCAGTGCAAACATGGACATAATTGTGAAATCAAACAGAAATATCAAAACACCAGAAATAAAATTGTCTATGATGAATCCAAACTTAACACATAAAGACAGGATCAGAAATTATATCAGGAAACAATCTGGAACAGAACAGGCATCAGATCAAATGTTTCAGACACATATAAAGACTACATCAAGAGACAACAAATCAAATGGTTTGGACATGTATCAAGACTCTACATCAAGAGACAACAGATCAAGTAGTTCAGACATAGCTCAAGACTCTACATCAAGAGACAACAGATCAAGTAGTTCAGACATATCTCAAGACTCTACATCAAGAGACTACAGATCAAGTAGTTCAGACATATCTCAAGACTCTACATCAAGAGCCAACATATCAAATAGTTCAGTCATATCTCAAGACTCTACATCAAGAGACAACAGATCAAATGGTTCGGACGTGTATCAAGACTGTCACAAGATATAGTGCACAACAGAGAGCCCTGTCACTAAGACAATGAAAGCAGAACTAGAGGTCACCCGTTTAGGTAATGGATAGTGGAATATTTGAGACCATTACCAGCATCTAAATAACACACACCAAAGCTTGCACTTGATGCCTCTTTGAACCTGATGCTAAAAGATAGAACAGGGTTTAGAGAAAAGAAAATGGTTTTGCAAGCTTTACATAGCCCACAGCCAGATGTTCCCCACCCCTTGATGGAGAATAATAGCATAAAAAGGTTCAGCAGAGACATGTAGACCATAATTTTCAGACTCTGGACACTGTAAATTCAAGAGCACATATTCATCCTTTGGGTGTTGCCAACTCTGCGTCTTGAAGATGTGTGCCTCATGAAGATGTGGGTGGGCCACCAGAATATGTCTTAGAAGATTGTCCAGATTTTGCCAGTAATGGAAATGAACTGTGACTCACATAAGCAACCCTTCAGGAGAAACTTCCCGGGGCACAGGGTATGACCTCAAGTGCACTGTGTGTGACCTAGCTGGAATAGATGCATAAATGTTGGATCACTAAAAAAACATGAAGAAAAAAAAGTAGTGAAGGAAGAGAAATAGAAGTAGAATAGAATAGAAAGAAGTGGATGAAGAATAAGTAGAAGTAGAGGAAGAAGAACAATTAGTGGAAAAAAAATTGTCTAGGACTGTTCCTTACTGACCTCCGGCAGGAAGTTCTGGTTGTTTCAACTTCTGGACTTTGGTCTTGTTCTAGAACTTAAGTGTTTCCCTGCACGTCCATTTTACATATCTGGATTATTTGTGTGCAGACAGTTGGTATCTTGGCCTCCCAGGCAGGTGCACTTAGACTTCAAAGGAAACACCCTTAATTAGTAGTCTTTTATGACATGCTTATTAGGGAGGCAGTGAGTCAATTATTTTCTCCTTCCAGTAGACCCTAGAATCCAGATATGGTGTTCAGTAATCTCTGCTATTCACATATAGGTGTTCAGTACTGTCACATCTCATAGAAAAGGTGTTCAGTCTTCGCTAACATTTACATTAATAAAGCACCACATGCTCAAACAGATGTTCAGGTGAAGTTTTACATTTTGTATTTCTCCCCTCAGTATCACAGAGAAACCATAGAAAATGTCAGGAAGGCTGTGGAGGGATTCTCTGACCCTCGTTCTGTGGCCATCGCTTTGGACACCAAGGGACCTGAAATCAGGACAGGACTTATTGATGGGGTAAATGTTATTAAAAAATGTTTATAATCCTCTTATTTTTCATTTCTTAATCTTCCCCCCTCCCGCTCCTACTTCTCGTCTTCATCCCCCTCTTCCGTTATCTTCTGCATTTCATCTTTTCTTCTGTCTTTCATTTATTGTCTTTAGAATATTAGAGTATATTCTTCTCAAACTGGTTTTGTTATGTGCGCATGATTTATGCATGTTTCAAGATTCCTCTAATTTATGTCTGATTTCGGAATATGTAAGCCTAAAAAAAAATTTTTTTAATAAATCTATGAACTTTGTGTAAAACGTCTCTAAAAATCTGTAATCCCGATTTATGTAATCTGTGAACCAGATACAGTTGTAAATTAAATGGTTTTATTTGTATCCTCAAACTGATAAGATTGTTTTCTGTAATTTGTGAACTGATAAGATTAGTTTCTGTAATATGGGAACCTGGTGACTGTTTTGTCTGAACTGATATTGTTTTTATGTAATCTGTGAACCAAATACAGTTGTAAATAAAATGGTTTTATTTGTGATAAGATCTGTAAACTGATAAGATTAATTTCTGTAATATGGGAACCTGGTGACTGTTTTGTCTGAACTGATAATATTGTTTTTATGTAATCTGTGAACCTTAAACAGTTTTCTAAACTGTTAACATTGTTTTCAATGATTTGTGAATTTAGTAAAATATATGTTTTGTTCTCTCAGAGCGGGACAGCAGAGGCTACCCTAGTAACTGGAGAGAGGATAAAAGTCACTGTTGATGACGCTTACATGGAGAAATGTAACAAGGATATTTTGTGGGTGGACTACAAGAACATCTGCAAGGTGGTGGAGGTGGGTTCGAGAATTTACATTGACGACGGCCTCATTTCTATAATTGTCAGAGAAAAAGGTATAGTAGACTGTTCATTGAAAATGGTTTATCATTTTACTTTTTATATTGTTTTTGATCATCTTTGCCTCCTCCTTTTTTTTTTACTCTTAATCTCCAACTTATCCTTCTTATCTTTCTTCTTCTTATTCTTATTCTCCTTCCCCTTCACCCTCTCCTTTTCCTTTTACTCCTCCCTCCTCTTCTCTTCTTCCTTCTCCTTTTTTCTTCTATTTCTTCTCAATCTCCTTCCCCTTTCTGAGAGAAGAGTACTCCTGACAACACAGAAGAGGTGGAAGGGAAGAGAGATCAAAAGAGATGAATTTTGGCATCATGCATGGAGAAATACCTGTTTAAAATTGTCAGCAGTACAAAAGACGTAAGCCTGTGCCAGAGATGACAAGCATCTTTTGCCATATACTTGTTGACCCTTTCACCCCGAGAATGAAACAGACACTTCCGTTTGGGTCCAGTTCCCTGTAAATGTCAGGTTTTTTCTTTAAACTCTTTGTCTTCTTTATACGGCCATGGCCATTGAGTTAACCGTATGTGTCGATTCCTCCCTACCAAATGTATGGTTGACACATTCCGTTTCTGGGGACAGCTTTTATGAGTTTGCTCTGTAGACAGTTGCAGTTCCCTGCTGACCAGATTCTCTCTTCCCGAGTGGACCGCCGCGTTCAAAACATTGTGTAGGCAGCGTAGTCGAGGCTGCCAAAACTATCGGTCATTATCCCGCCTCGACATAGCACAACCACCTTCTTTATACAAGGCACATAGTTAATGCGGTTAGCTGTTTGTTCGCCTATTCAAATTGGGAGGGGTGGTGTCTTCTTTTGTTTTCTTGAAATAGATTGTCTTTATCTGCAATGTTGTCTCTAGTATAAACTTCGCTGTCTTTTGTAATTCACTCAGCGACCCGTAAAGTTTGGCTTGCACCAGTGTTTCTCTTGGCCAAAAGGTTTTGCTTTGATATGTTGTATTTGAAACAGTTTTGGAGGACATGATCTGTTGTCTCAGGTGCCAGTGCACATGGCTGATTCACTGATTTTACATTTTGTGTACATATGGCTGTGAAGTCGATTGTGTTCTGTTCTAAGATGTAGAATAATAACTTGCTCTGGCTATCCATAAGATGGTAATCATTTTGTGCTGGTTTTTGTGGCTTTCTGGTTGATTTATTGTCTTCTTCTGTTAAGAGACTGGTATGTCAGGTTGTTCTTCATTTGCACCTTCCTTAGCTAGTTCATCAGCTCTTTTCATTTTCAGGAACTCCATAGTGGGGTGGTATCCATTGCATAGTTACCTTACACCGGTTGTCTAGTTTGGAGTGTAGTGTTCGTATACCAGATAATTTTTTTTCCAGATTGGAGTGCTTTAAGTACCGCTGTTGCATCTGTTAGGAATACCAGTTTGTGAAATAGGACATACATTTAACACTTTCTCTGCTGCTATTTCGATGGCTTTAGCTTCTGCATCATAGTTTTGACAGTGCTTTCCTGTTGGTATTTTGGCTGTATATCTGGTATTATTTGGATGCTCAATATACACTCCTGCTCCTCCATTTCTTCTTGCATTTTGTGTTGACCCATCCGTATAGACACAGACCCAAAGATTATTTGGGTATTCATCATGTAGATCGAGGGTGGCTGTTTTGGAACATGATTAAGAGTCCAGAAGTGGACGAACAACTAGAACTTTCCACAAGAGTTTACAGCCAGTTAGCGCTAAGAAGACGAAGATATTAACAGCCTGGAGTATGCAAATTCTGACTGCCCTTCACCCCTGTGGGAGAATGTCCTATGGATTTATATTTTTTTAAAGTTTTTTATCATTTGCTAGATGTCATTATTCTTCATCGATTTCTTCTCTGTATGAACAGGTGAAACTAGCTTGATCTGTGAGATTGAAAATGGTGGACAGCTGGGATCCAAGAAGGGTTGTAATTTGCCAGGCACTCCTGTTGACTTGCCGGCTGTTTCTGAGAAGGACAAGCAGGATCTACAGTTTGGTGTAGATATGGGGGTATGTTCAGCAATTTTTTTTTTTTTCAATGGATGGCTGAGTGGTTTGAGTACTGGCTGTCATGCAGAAGACTTGGGTTTGATTGTTGGTTTGGGATGAGGATATTTTCTTTCAAGGGTAAAAATATAAATCTTAACCTGCACAGTTTATACTATCAGCACTAGCCATGTTGCCTCGAATCACCAGACTCACAATTTCCCTGTGCTACACCATTGAAAACATGGCAAATATGGGCAGTACAAACAACTTAGCGGGGGGGGGGGGGGTGCATGTTTAATTTGTCTAGAAGATCTGTCAGTCTCTGCTTGTGTATATAGATGTATGCAAGCCAGTTATAGATAAAACAGGCATTGAGATGATATCACAGGAACAGGATGCCATGCATCATTTAGCTTGGAGGGCCTCGTAAATTTTGACAACCCATGCTAGGTCATTGATTACAATGTCGCAACTGCTTTTAAAGTGAACATCCTTTATTTCTTGGCCCAGAAAACCTGCATAAAGTAGACAATGGACCAAGTACAGTAATTTGAGATTGGAGAAAATATGAGTGTAGCTGTTAATTAAGCCTTCTAGTTTTTATCTCCGAATAGAGCTTTGATCCTCAAGTAACCATTGACAAATTCATTTTAGACATACTGTGTGACTGGTCAAAAGTTAAATCAGTTTGAAAACAAATACCTGAAGAAATGTAAGGACATTCAATGGGATCAAATCAAGAAAGGTAAAGAAACGGCAAAATGTCTGGCAACAGTTTGTCATTTATAAGGCAAAAAAGACAGAATGGTTCCTACAATAAAAGTTTTAAAGTCTGTTCCTCTAGTTTGTTCTATCTTATGCAATTGAAAAAGAATGTAATTCAGTCTGGCACCTTTTTCCTCTCTCATTGAGTTGTCTTAAGGTTTGTCTTGGACATCATTGTTTCCTGAGTCCAATTTGTTTTCTTATTTCAGTGCCTTTTGAGGGATTCTTTGTTCACACTATATTACTTCTTTTAGACTGTAGTGTTGTATTGAGCTGTAGAGAGACATTAGATGTGACTAGCAAGACCCACTCATGTTACGAAAAGTTTTTCACATTTAGAGCATGGGATTTCAGGACTATCATTGCCATCACATATATTTAATGTGCTTCTCAGGCCAGAGGTTCAGCTTTTGACCTAACAGCAGCCATTTTACCCCATTGTTGATTTCCCCTCTCTGTGCAACATGGGCCATTGCATTCTGTTCCCACACCACCATCTCAGTGCCTGTATCATTCATGTCCCGCTTGCTCATATCTTTATATCATAGTCGGCTGACCTTGAGCCCTGTATTACATATAAAGGGCACAACATTATGATAATTGGTTATATTGTGTGACTAACAGTATCTGCGGGATGAGCTTTGAGTCGTGAGTTCAGGGTCTAGCCAGCTGATGCTGCAGAATCATGACAAATGATTCATGACAATTCCCGCCTAGGTGATGTGATTATCAATACAGATGGCTCTGTGTTGAGGGGCAGATGAAGAGCATGGGGGTTCATAGCAAAAGTGAATGGACGTCGCTTGGTGCAGCAAGCCTGGCAGTTACTGGTGCTATCAGAATTGGAACTCTTCACTGCTGCTGAAGATGGGGACAGAGTGCTTATGGGGATGTCCTGAGTGCTGTGATGTAGATTCCCAATTCAACATTCAACAGGATGAGCAACAGTTCTCACACTTCTTAGTCAGCTCCTGTGCCATGCCTGGTTGGCTAAGTTTTATTATTAATGTTATTGCTTTCCTTAAGGGCCCTGGTACACACGAGGGGGCATGCAGCATACTGATAGGTTTCTTACTGTTTAAATGAGGTATTTATGGGGTTTTTAAGTTGATTTTAGTCAATGCTGGTAATGTAACAAGAAGAGACAGAATCAGAAACAGTGGTATTGGAGGTTGGGACAATACTAGTGATAAACTGCATCAGGAGATGACAGTTCAGATGGTTTGGACATGAATTCTGATAGGTTGTTAGTTACACATATCCTCAACTCTTTCTGTCCCAAACAACACATTGTGCATGATTGGGTATTATTTATTATTCAAGTGTGCCAGGCATTGTTTTGTATGTTTTTGCATGTTATATTTAGTGAACAGTTCTAAACTCTGAAAACACATTTCTTTTCTGCGAGGGTTGTATATTTGTCTCCTCTGGAAGTAGTATACCTATGAGTTTAGTATTGCCATTCTCAGCTGCTTCAGACTTTAGCTAGGGCTTTGTGGGTCTGAAAGTTTTAACGAAACTCAACAAACTCCAGCCTTTGTTGGTTGTGTGGTTTCACTAGATATTTTACACTCAGTTGTCTTTGCCCCTTGAACAGTCGACAGTCAGTGCATAGTGGTATGCTGCCTAATTACCTGCATTTGAATCAAACACATAGTATTGGAATTATGAAACTGCAGTATAACCTCTAAGTCGCATGCGCTGACTGATCGGTTAGATTAGTACTAATATTTATCTCGCCACTTTTGAGCATTTGGTGTAAATTGAAACAATCATTTCTAGGTTACCTGTTGTACTAGCTTTAATTTTAATTTTATTTTGAAATTTATTTATTCAAGGTTGACATGGTTTTTGCATCGTTCATCCGAGATGCTGAAGGAGTTAGAGAGATTAGACGAGTACTTGGTCCCAAGGGAGCAAACATTAAGATCATCGCCAAGCTGGAAAATCATCAGGGTATCAGAAAGTGAGTGCCTTTTGTATGTCTTAAGAAAGTTTTCTTGCTGTACCATTAACACAAAGATTTAGTATTTCTGTTTTTTGTTGTTGTTTCTAGCAGATGCCCAACGGTGAAGTATTTGTAATGAATAATCATGAGTGTGTTGCTTTCTGAGAGATTTCAAGAGTGCCAGATTTCCTTAGTTTCCTGTAACCAAATATAAAATTTAGAAGAAGGTATTAGGCAGAGGTGGGGATGATTCTGCTGAGCTAGTCACATCATGTGTTAATTTGGGGACAGAATGGGTTAAGTTTCATTTACTGTGGAAGTCATCATGAAAATGAGGTGAGGTGATTAAAGAACCAACATCACAACACTCAGGTCATTCCTATAAGCATTCTGTCCTGATCTTCAGCAGCCAGCGCAGAGTTCCAATACCACTAGTGCCAGTAGCAGTCTCATATGTCTTGCCTTTCCACTGCACGTCAAGTATCGGCCAGATCCTTTCGTTGTTTCATCTTTATCACTCTTACCAGACTGATGAACAATTTTTTGTTTCAAATTATACACGTGCTACCATAAGACCTTAACCAAGTCTGCCTTATTGTGCATCAGTATTCCACCAAGTTGGGCAGAGCCAGTCAGTCTGTCCACCTGTTCATTTCCCAACACATGCATTTCCCGGAGAAAAGATCCAGACATGTAAATGAACAGTTGTGAACCATTTTCACATCTTTGGCATAAAGGGCATGTAAAGCTAGAGCAATATTTATTAGCTGGCATTTAATGCTTGATGTGATCGCTGACGCATCATGCGGGCCACCTTTACTTTTCAGGACATTACCTATTACTCATTTTAAACTAGGAGTTATTCATGACAGGGGATGCAGGCTTTTCTGTTGGGGCACTTACTAAAAATGTGTAATCTGCACAGTTTGTAGTGACTGGCCTTAAATACTCAAGCTTACAACCCCCCTTCCCTACAGCATACTGAAAATAAAAGTTTAGGCAGTAACATTTTTTTTTAAAATATCGTCTTAAAAAACAAAAATGTAACACTTAGTTGGTGTAAGGTTATTTCTTATATTATTTCTTTCTTTTTTTCCCCCCTGCCAGCTTCATGGAGATCCTTCAGGAAACCGATGGTGTGATGGTGGCTCGTGGAGACATGGGTATTGAAATTCCTCCTGAGAAAGTCTTTCTGGCACAGAAAATGATGATTGGCTGCTGTAATAGAGCCGGAAAACCAGTGATCTGTGCCACACAGGTATGATGATGATGTTTTTACCCACCGGTAAAGCAGAAGTGTTAGTAGTTTTCATGTGAATTCTGTACCCCACGTTCTACTTATGTATTTTCTGATTACTCATGAGCTTTTGGGTCTGTTTCCAAGTGGGTAATTTTTTTCTCTGGTTCTAATTTTTGGTGACACCGAGCTTTGGGGGTTATGTACAAATAGTTTTCTGGTTACACATTGGCTTGTGGATTATGTACTGGGGGTTTTACTCATCTTTCTTACGATTACACATGTTCTGTGGGGGTTATACACATGAGCTTGTGTGTACGTGGGTTTTACACTAGTTCTAGTGTCTGATTACACATGGGCTTGTGGGTTTTCCTCTGGTTTTAGTGTCTGATTACACATAGGCTTGTGGGTTTTCCTCTGATTGTAGTGTTTGATTACGCATGGGCTTGTGGGTTTTCCTCTGGTTTTAGTGTCTGATTACACATGGGCTTGTGGGTTTTCCTCTGATTGTAGTGTTTGATTACGCATGGGCTTGTGGGTTTTCCTCTGGTTTTAGTGTTTGATTACGCATGGGCTTGTGGGTTTTCCTCTGGTTTTAGTGTTTGATTACACATGGGCTTGAGGGTTTTCCTCTGGTTTTAGTGTAGACATGTGGGTTTTTTCTCTGATGCTAGTGTTTGATTACACATGGGCTTCTGGGCACGTAGGTTTTTCTCTAGTTCTAGTGTCTGATTACACATGAGCTTGTGTGTACATGGGTTTTTCTCTGGTGCTAGTGTCTGATTACACATGGGCTTGTTGACATGTTTTTCTCTGGTGCTAGTGTCTGATTACACATGGGCTTGTGGACACGTGGGTTTTTCTCTGGTTCTAGTATCTGATTACACAAGGGCTTGTGGGCACGTGGGTTTTTCTCCGGTGCTAGTGTCTGATTACACATGGGCTTGTGGGTTGTGTACGAATGAGTTCATTCTTCTTCTCTAGTTCTATTGTTTAGTTACAAATCTCTGGTTTATTTTCAGATGCTGGAGAGCATGACAAAAAAGCCGAGAGCCACCAGATCTGAGACTAGCGATGTGGCCAATGCCGTTCTGGATGGTGCTGATTGTGTCATGTTGTCTGGAGAGACGGCCAAGGGGCTGTATCCACTGGAGACTGTCAGACACATGCATAAGGTGAGGAAGTAGTGAAAACGAGTGTTTTGGTACTGAGACCTTCGAAATGTGGTTTTATAGAATTCTTAGAATTGTTTGGACACACCCCCCCCCCCCCCCCCCCCCCCCCCCAAACCTAGATTATTTTTTTTAAAACTTTGTCATGAGAAGGAAGATGTGTTTCTAGATCATTCCAAAGATAATATAAATTGCCAGTTGACTTCCTTCAGATAAGAATGTTATATTAATCTTTATTGTCTAGATAACGAGCTTCTCTCTTGTCTTCTTAGTGTACCCAACAATACTCCTTATGGCTGTATTGTTAAACACTTTAGGGTAGGTTGCGTTAACTTTTTGAGTCCCAAGGAACGCATCATAGGCCCAGTGAACGCAAGATCCTCCGATTTTACGTTTCTCTTGACCACCTCTTGGGCCTCTGATGCTAAACCCCCTGGGAATAACTGCTTGGAATTAAGAGTGTTTACAAACTGTTAATGATTCAATCTATTTGCAGATCTGTAGAGAAGCAGAGTCCGCAGTGTTTCACAAACAGCAGTTTGAGGACCTTCGCAGAGAGACTCCTTTGTACACTGATTCAACACACACCATTGCCATTGCTGCAGTGGAAGCTTCATTCACATGCATGGCTGCTGCCATCATTGTCGTCACTACCACAGGCCGGTAAGAGCATTTTTATTTAGCATCATCATCCCCTGTATGGGTTATGGATGGGGAAAAAATTGAACCTTAACAACAGTTACCTTATAGGACGTTTTTGGAACCACCCCCAACATTTTTGGCTGGTTTTTTTGTTGTTAACTTATCATTATTATACTTAGTAGTTTGCGATTGTTTTGTGGTGGCCTGTAGAAACGATGATGGAGACAATCTACATTCTTTGCTGACATCATAAACACGAGATAATTGGAGCACATCATGACAGCGGGGAAAGTTAGATCATAATATGGAAGGAAATCTGTCAGTTAGACACACCTAGGTTCGTTAATACATTACTATAATAACAGGTACTATTAGTCAGATTAAGAGGTAAAGTAGTAGATGTGAAAATTATACAGGTCTATGCACGAACAGCAGACAGGAAGAAGAAAGCAATGACTTTTATATAATTCAGTCTTTAGGCGTGCCCGGGAAGTGAGTGATGTTTTGTAAAGGACTTGTATATTGACAATGAGTTTGCCGTTGTGTTTTTTTAAGAATGGTTGGCTCTCTATACCACTCAAAATAAGAGCAGACCAGTTTGTTGCCAAATTGTCCCCCTTATCGCATGTAAAAATCATCATCATGTAGCAGGTTTTGTTGAATGTGACATTCCCCTGTTACCTAGTCTCTGAGAAATGTAACATTCTTGACAATAGTAAAAATGTCCCTCATTATTTCACAGGAATTTTTAGCAAACAGTCTTTGCTCAAGTACTCATTTATTTTGGTGTTCTAAGCATTAGCAGACAGACAAGAGAAAAAAAAGTTCGTCCGAATCTGTGTCTGTCCATCAGGAAAGACGAGAACTTGTAGTGGCAGGTGCCTTCTCAATTATTTCCTTGCAGAACCTGTTAGTTTCCGCTGCGATGAAAGTCATCAGTGATTCCATTTTAAAAAAAAGTTTTAAAAATTTCAAGCAGTGAACTGTTTGAATTTGCAGTAGCAGAAATACAGCCAGAGCTGGAGTCATCAAAATTATGCACTACTGGTATCAAATCATCAGTTGACCAAGACAGTTGATCAATTGTTTGCCGCTTTGATGGCGCTTCACTGTCGCTGCTTTCTGATTCCGATGATGTCAGACAGACAAACAGCTTTTTCTTGAACACGCCGGTTTGAGCCGTCGATATTGATAGCCTAGTCAAATCTACTTATTCACTGTCAGATATACACATTTCAAAGTCATCTTCGCTATCACTTCTTGACAGAAACTCCATCAATTTTTCATAAACTTTAACAAGTGTTCTTGCCGTTTAGTACTAACAAAGTGTAGAAAAATCCAAACCCACAAATATATATCAGGGCACAAAATACACAGATCACCGACCACGTTGTCATGGTAAACAAAGCGACGGGATAGCAGGGTATGCAGTGAACACTAGGGATGTACCAAATAGTGATTTTCACCATTCGGCTGAATACGAATAGCAGGACCAACATTCAGCTGAATACGAATAGCGAGACCAACCATTCGGCTGAATACGAATAGCGGGACCAACCATTCGGCTGAATACGAATAGCGGGACCAACCATTCGGCTGAATACGAATAGCGGGACCAACCATTCGGCTGAATACGAACACAAATAGTGCATTATCATTATTAGGTGCCTCGCCGACTGTCGTGGGCGATTATGCCTCGCCACAATCTGCGATCTCCTGCAGCATGCATTAGTTCGTGTGCTGACACACCTCCATGCAATGCAATAAGACTGTCAAGAATCTTCTCCTCTATCCCTCCTTTCACGATCTTTCCAGTGGTCACATGTTCCATTTTCACTCTTCTCATAACATGGCCGAAAAATGACGACTGTCTCCTTTTGATGTCTGTTATTAGTTGTCTTCATTTTCCCGCCTCTTTCAAAACCTCTCTTGGTTTTTGTTGCTGTCCAAGGTATTTTAAGCATTGTTCTGTAAAACCACATCTCTGAGGCCTCAAGAAATTGTGTGGCCTGCCTACCGATTGTCAAGGACTCAAGCCATATGTTAAAACTGGATGTATGTAGCAAGCATGAAATTTTGTCTAACCTTTAATGACAAAGATATATTGTATAAGATGTTCTCCATTTTATAAAATGCAGTTTTTGCCTGTCCTATTCTGTTTCTTATTTCAGTAATGCATCTTCCATCTGATGTTATCCATGTGCCTAGATACTTAAATTGTGTACTTGTCCCAAAATAAAACCATTGACTTTTAATACACATTTAGGAATAATTCTTTTCTTTGATACCGCCATTACTTCTGTCTTTCCACTGTTCAAACTGCGGCCCATTCTTCCACTTTCGAATAGTGTATAGTGTATAAAATAAATCTTAAAAAAAAAAAAAAACATTCATAATGTCAAACGTGCACTGAAATTATACTTCACAAAATGTACAGAATAGTAAACATTTAAAAACATTTTATGTTTTGCATCCTTCAGTCAGTCAGTGTGTGGTAACTAATACCTAGAAATGAAAGTATTCTTAGCATTATAACAAGTAACTTAACTTGTAAATTGTCACTGACAGCTTTATTAATGCATGAAAGCGACTTAGGCAACAGCAACTATCGCAATGTATGCAGAAACAGGTGTAAGGTAACTACTATTCGTGGTCGGCCCGACCGCAAGTATTCGGCCGAATACCGAATAGTTATAGGTCGACTATTTGGCTCTGAAGCGAATATTCGGTACAGCCCTAGTAAACACACCTTAATTAAACACACCTAAATGCACGAGCCAGTGCTTTTAATTTAATTGTATGTAAATGGGTCAGTTGAATATAAATATATAGCTAATGTGTATTGCCCCTTTGGCCCCTGAGACAAGAGGTCACAGAAATCTGTAAATCCAAAAACGGGTTGGTACATCCATAGCACTGGGGGCCAAGAAGAAAAATTTCCAAAGACGGGCATAGCAGCGAAAGGGTTAAAGATTCATTTATTTACTTCATGTTATTTTAATTCTTTATCACGCATCTGACAAAGTACAGTAAAACAAGCCAGGCATTAACTGCAAAAATTAAGAAAATATGGGTGACCACAGTCAAGCTGGTATCAGAAAAGTAAATGCACTAAATATAAGTGAATTTGTAGTACAAATTTGCAATTTATCATTGTATCTTCACTGTTCAAACTCTACATTTATATTAATGGCCTGTGAGGAATATACTGTTTGTCAGTGTCAGTCAAGTGTTGTCTGCACAAATAATGTGGCTAGGGTGTTTGTCCAACACACTTTCTTGTTCTGGCTGTAGAGTCTGACCCTTCTGTTCATCATTCTCCTTATAATATCCTTCCACCCTTATTGCTGGCTACCTCTTTCTTGTTATGCCTTATCTTTTAACTACAGTACGATTTCTGACTGAAATATTTCACTTGATTCTTTCTTTCAGCAACTGTTTTCATTCCCAGTTTTTTCAGAACCCCTATATTTGATTTTTGTTTTTCCCCGTTTCCTATCAGTAGCAGGGACACAGTGTACTTTTAATAATTGTAATTTTTTTTTTAAAGTATTGCCGTTACTGTTATAGTAACCACCGTCTGTGGAGTTTAGGCCACATTTACTGCTAAAGTGTGGGTACTGGTTTCCACATTACAGCTCTATTTACAGTTGGTTTTACTGGTTAAATTGCTGACAGTATGAGGATGAGGCACTTGAGTATCAGGAAATGACATCATAAATTGTTGAACAACAACATTTGAATACCTGCCACCATTAAGGAGCACATGCTGAACCAAAAATACTCTTCAGTAGTTACCATTATTATAGCTAAAATCAGTTTATAAAACAAGAAGTATGTAGCAGTGATATTCTAAACTAATGGTTAAATGGCACTTGAAACATGATGTAATACACAGATTTAATTGCCGCATGCAAATATTTGATTTAAAAAAGTCGACAGTCATCAAACATACATCTATGCTACACACAGTTTTGGGAGCTGCGAAAGCTCATTGGTTAGCATGTTCTCCTGTTGATCTGTTAGTCATATGTTCAATTCCCAATCAAGGTGGAATGTTTTGAATACCTTTGGCCCCCATGTCACCTCAGCCTAAAATAAGTACCAGGAAATGTCGTAAAAACTAACGATAGCCAGCATAATACTGACCATGTCATATAGGGTACCCTTTGTCTGTACAAATATAGAGCAGACATCATTGTCCAGTATGCCTCATAGCATCAAAAATATTTTTTGTCCTTTTTTTTTTTTATCTTATAATTTGTTAAGCTGTTGAAGGTGAATCACTGCCATATCCTTTTCTTTATCTGCTGTAAGGTGACATATACAATTTTTTTCAACGTGCCATGGAAATGAAACACTTTTTTTCTCTTCAAAACTGATATATTGTTCTTCATTTCTAGATCTGCCTACCTGGTGTCAGCTTATCGCCCGCGGTGTCCAATTCTGGCTGTGACAAGGAATGCCCAAACTGCCCGCCAGGCCCATTTGTACCGTGGCATTTTCCCTGTCCATTATAGTGGTATGTGTGATCAATGTTTTTGTGTAGCAACAGCTGAATGTTTCAGTTATATGGTTGCCTGGCTGTGTTGTTGGTTAGTTGACTGGCTGGTTGATAGACTGACTGATATAGGTAATTATTGTTAGCACTACGTAGATTTTTTAGAACGCCCGCAGCTGACACCTAGTTAACTTAGACATTTAAGTCAGAATTGTTTTCCCAAACCTGCCCAGTGTGGATTTGCACCCAAGGCCTCTGGCCATGCGGGCAAATGTCTAGCCACTACGCTGTCACAAATCCTGAAAGTCAGCTTACACGGTGCAGGAGATTCTGCTTCTCTGCAACACTTCATTGAAGTGACTGCAAGAGAAGAATATTGGGTATCCTTTTGAACTTTCATATGCTTTAATAAATAGTATCCAAACATGCACTAGACTCGCGACCTTAACGCTTTCAGTAGTGAGCATCATTGGTGTTGCCTAGCATGGTGTGCTATTCTCAGCTCCATACACTTCATCTAGCTTTAACATAAACCAGTTCTACCCCATCTGTGACTTCAGCTGCTTTTGTACTTTAGTGTTAATATCTGAACCCTTTAATCTTCAGTGTTCTGATCCCTTGAGGTTAATTGCTGCAGAGATCGCCTGCCTCCATTCATCTCTATGATTGATCTTCTCTTTCCAGATGGCAGCTCCATGTTTGCAACTCTTCCTGAATATTTTCTATACAATTGTCTTTATCTGCCTCGTTTTCATCTTTAATTCAAATCTTTTGTTTGCCCACTTTTTCCCTGTGTTATCTGCCATTCTCTCTAATTGCCCCAGCCATTGGAACCCCTTTAATTCCAAACATATATTACTTTATAAACAATATGTGCTTATTATTAAATCAAGAGTTAAAGAAGCACATGTGCGGGACTGAAAGAGTTAAATCCTTGGACTCCCAACAATAAACCCCCCCCATCCTACACCACCATAAAGGTGGCCAGTAAGACAGTGAAGACAATTTGACCATTTGTACTTTGTTTTCTTATGGCATTCTAGTTATTTTTTGTGAAATTCCGCAGCTCCCATCCTGAATGAGTGGACCGCCGATGTGGACAGACGTATCTGGAAGGCAATCAGCCTTGGCATTGAGAGAGGCTACATCAGAAATGAAGATCCAGTGAGCTTATATCTATTCAATTAATTTATTTCTTAGCTTTGTTTCTTCTTTATTTGAGCAATATACTGATTTAGGCAATCTAAGTGTAAAGTTTTAGATGCAGGTTATGTCGCCAGATGCATTGTTGTTATCGTTGTTGTATTTTGTATTTTTTTTTTTCCTCTTTACTTTCAACATATGCCAGTGAAAATTGGAGAACTATTACAGACATGGAACACAAATTAAACGCACTCAAAAATACCTGAGGAAATTTTATGAACTTATATTTGATAAATGCAAGAAAATTGAAGAAATTAGGATCGCTAATATGGGGCTTTTATAATTTATAAAGAACTAAATAGTACGATTGCTCGTATGGAGCTTTTATAAAGAACTATATACCAGAATCACTAATATGGAGCTTTTATAATTTATAAAGAACTAAATACCAGAATCACTAATATGGAGCTTTTATAATTTATAAAGAACTAAATACCAGAATCACTAATATGGAGCTTTTATAAAGAACTAAATACCAGAATCACTAATATGGAGCTTTTATAAAGAACTAAATACCAGAATCACTAATATGGAGCTTTTATAAAGAACTAAATACCAGAATCACTAATATGGAGCTTTTATAAAGAACTAAAAACAGGGTATTCACATCATTCGTCTATAAAACCACATCTCCTCAGCTTCCAAGTAAGTTTTCACTAACTTACCAAGTGTCCATGATTCACTTCCTTTTATAAAAATAGGATTTATATAGCATTGAAGAATTCGCTTTCTCGCCTCAATTGACAAAGAAAGATTGCATGAAATATTCTTCATTTTGTAAAATGCTGCCTTTGAGCAGTTCAACATTTAACTTCCTTAATACATATATAATGTTATGCCTTGCTCGATTGCTTAGTTGGTTAAATCTGACTGCGGCGACCAGGTGAAGAACTCCTTGTGGCCCGGGATTAGGCAGAAAAGCCACATTTCTCCCAGATTTACGGTTTCTATCATGGAACCAAGGTCGAATGGTTGCGATATCCCTAGTACCAAGCCAAAGGGTTTAGAACTAATGGTTTTCTGATGGAAAAAAAAAAATCTGATATCAGGGTACCGAAGTACTTATCCATATCTACTTGCTTATCTTTTGTCCCATTTACTTTGAAGTTGCATATTGGAGGGTACATTGTGTTTGTAATTACCATTATGTGATGTATAGAGGTATCTCTACAAAATGTCACAACATTTGCAGGTTGTCATTTTGACCTTCTTTGTAATTACCATTATGTGATGTATCTATCTTTACAAAATGTCACATTTGCAGGTTGTCATTTTGACCGGATGGAAACCTGGATCAGGGGCCACAAACACGATGAGAATCATTGCTGCCCATGACATGTCTGATAAGGATGTGCTGCCACCTATTATCGGAATGAGCTCAGTTCCATCCTTTAACCGCAACAAAGATATAGCTGATGGAGTCTCCGCAGTGAATTTGAATGCAGATGGAAGTGGCGATGTCAAATTCTTCTAGGTAACTTCAATTCACTTTTCCATTATCAAGAAATTATTAGGACTTTCATATCGTTGTCTACTTTTTCTTTTCTTCTTCTTCTTCTTCTTCTTCTACTATGTTCAGCTTTTAAAGATGGTTGGCACATTGTATTGCGGCTTATGGCTGGACAATGCTATTTCCACCTTTTAGATGTTGACAACCCCTCTCAGTAGTCACCTGTTACATGTTTTTTTAAATTTAAATTATAGATATATTAGGAGAAGGAATGAACTCTAGAACTTTGTAGCAACTGACACAACTAATAGAAAGAGGGCAAAGAGATAACAACCTGAATGACCTGGCCAGTCAAATGGGGCAAGTCAAAAACAAATGGGAATTCTTGTCATCACATGAAATGCTGAAACAGAGTTGCCTACAGAGTGCCCATTGGTTTATAAAGTATCAGTCTAGGATTATTGAGGCGCTACTGGTGTTTTAAAAAAAATGCGGGTCTAGCACCATATGCTCAATGCATCAATGGGGTCTTCCGTTCTTTTCTTTTAATTACTCCATCTCAGGGAATCCGAGATTTTGTGGCAAGCTCCTGGGAAAGTCCAATAGTATAGGGGTGTTGAGGAGGTGAAAATGAACACGAGTGGGGTGAACTAAAAGAAAAATACAGGATTTTCTTCTTCTTAGCATTCACCAGCTGGTAACTCTGGCAGAAAGTTCTGATTGTTCATCCACTTCTTGACTTTGGTCACGATTGATGTTTTCATGCACATCCATTTTACAGATCTTGCTTATTTGTATGCAGACTGTTGGTTCTTTGCCTCTCAGGCAGATGTAATGTGACTTTGAAGTAACTAGTCACCTTCTATAACATACTTTTCTTTAGGTGAAAAGGGGAGGTGGGGGCAGTTGGTCTGATCTTTGTTCTCCGGTGATATTTTTAAAAAATCTCTGCAGATCACTAACTTGTTTTTGATTCCTGTTTTTCAGGTGATCAAAACACAGCACTACTTCTCAGAAGCATACCTGTTCTGTTTAGTTTGACTGTGTAAACAATTAGCTTTTTTTTTTTTTTGTATTTCATTTCCTTTGTTAGATTTGATTGGAGATTTTATTATTATTATTGTACATTGCTGTTTTTTCGTCTTGTTGTCAAAAGTTTATTAAACATCTCATGAAATCAGAAACTCCTGTGTGGCTTGTTCAGATCACATCACCTCGGAATAGCTTGAATCATTTCTGAATAGCGCTAATGGCCTCAGAATATTTAGAGACCACATCTGAATAGCCCAACTGGCTCAGAATTATTAGAGGACCTCAGAATGGTTTGTGATACCTTCATAGCTCGTTAGATCTGTATGTTGACGGTTGGAGAGTATATAAGCATATTATGTACCTTTGTTTTGAGAAGACATTTCTTTATGAATCTATTGTCAGGGCTTAGTTTTTTTATAAGAAAAAGATGTGGGTAACTCACCAGCAAGTATCTGTTCTGCTGGCATTGATACGACTGATGCCTTAAAAAAAAATAGTGATGATACTGTGCCACCAAGGGAAGAAACCTGTCTGCTTTAGGTTCCACACCTTAACATGTTTACACCAATTCTTTGTGTGTGTGCCAGTGATTCTGTTATAACAGACAAAAATGAATTAAGTTCTGGGAAGAAAAAGAAAAAACAGCAACAAAAAAGATTTAAGTCTATTTCTTGAAGCTGTCCACCCACTTGTAACATTGTCTTTCTTTTGCAATTTTTCCCCACTAGCATGTCCTTAAGCCATGAACAGTAACTCTAGTGTGGTCGACCTTAATAGTCTGGCCTTGATCTCATTCATTGCGTTTGTTTTCCTTTTAATTGGAACTTTTTTTTTTTTTTTTTGCCATGAAGTTGTAACAAGCTTTAATCAGTGGTTTCCAGTTAGCTAAGACCTGGTGACCACTCCTGTTTTGTAAGGTCTGCCTAGTTAACCAAGCTTAATAGTCATACACAAGAACTTTTTGTAAATTATAAATATGAGAACAACAAAATATAATTGGCATTCTAAAGTATACAGGGTTTTTTTTAATACAAAGGAAACTATGGACCCTTTATAATCATTTCTGTGGACCACCCACCAAATGGGATGGACTAGCTTTGGTGTTTAATTTTTTCTTTCAAGTCTCTCACCACATCCCTGCCACCTTGTACATATCCCCTTGCTCCTGTAAGATGGAAGTGAGTTATGATATTAAGTTGCAGCTCCTTCTAGTGATACTGCAGCCTCCATCTAGTTGGAACTCACCCACATGTGGTTGAACCCCCAGCAGCCATCGCTGTAGTTGAACCGCAGCACTACTAGTTGAGCCTCCATTTGGTTGACCTTTAACCCTTGTTGACCTGCAGCACTGCTAGGTGAAACTGACGCCTCCATTTGGTTGACTTTTAACCCTTGTTGAACTGCAGCACTGCTAGTTGAGCCTCCATTTGGTTGACCTTTAACCCTTATTGAACTGCAGCACTGGCAAGTTGAAATGTTTTCAGACAAAAAAATAACATTACAAAAATAAGACTTCTAACTCCACAGGTCCCTAGTAAATGTAGCTGTGCAGATTTAAATCCTCCGGCTAAAGACTCTCATGATGTCCTGTACCAACCTAAATTGTGGTAAATACAGAACAGTAAATAGTTTATGGGAAGTAAAGGTGGCCAGAGTGACACTAACCACCACATCATCTGTCAAGCTTTAATCATCATAGTTCAGTAATACCACGTGCCATTGAGTCACCAGATGCTGGCTGCTTAATCTGTTCCCTCAAATGGACAGATAGATGCAGTGGACTCTATGTTTGAGGCCTGTTCATTCGGCTAGATTCTGCATCCAAGTCTTTCTTGGTCTGCCACTTCTCTTGCAAGTTCTGAAGTAATGTTTTGGAGAGGCCGGTAGACTTTTTTTTAACATGTCTATACCATTGCACTTTCCATCTATTCACGGTTCAAAGAAATTCATAATTGCCAATGTGAAAAGTGTTGATACCATAAACTTCATCATTTCTGATAGTGTTTGTATGGCCAAGCAAGTCTAATTTCCAGTGCTTGTGTTGACCTTATTTTCACTGTTGTTCAGAGAGGCTCAGATGCCTGTGTGTTAAATTGATACGGTGAACTTCATTTCTAAAGTGTTGTCTGTATGATATACTAAGAATCTTTAGAAAAGATCTCATGTCTGATATACTATAGAGCTTTAGAAAAGATCTCATGTCTTATACTTAAATTTTTCTGTGAAGTATTGAAAAGGCTATAAAATAAGAAATGCCCTATGTCCTAATAAACCTTAAGGTATGGACATGAAACTTGTTTTTTTTTTTTTTTTTTGCTGAACACCCCTACCACTTCTCATTCAGCTCTCCACTCTGACATCCATGTTGTACTGTCATCTGTATATTTTTTTGTTTTCCAACCACAAATGTTTATGGCTTGTATCATTGTTTATGGCAAACATCATCATCAAAAATTGTGTGTGATTAAAAGAAAATATGTTTAAACAAACAAAAAATATTGTAAACATTTGATGTGTTGATGCCTTGTTTTCTGTATCACTGGTTATAACAATACTCACTAATAAAGATTACAGACATCTCCAGAGATTTTTTTTTTTCTTTTTGTTCATTTTTCTACATTTGCGTGCCCTTGAGAGGGTGGTTAGCACGTTGTATTGTGGTTTATGGGTAGGCTGCAGTGAAACCTGCATTTTTTTTTTTTTCTTTGGCCCAACACATCAGATTTCTTAAAATCATTTCTTTTAGCAGAAAAGTTTATGGTGACTGCAGAATGCCAAACTACTTGAAATCTGAGTCTGGTTAGCCTCATTTCCTTAAAAGTTAGTTGCCTCTTCTTTACAGGACTTGGCAGAACCAACCCCAGCAGTATTTGGCGGTTGTAATTTTGTACAGTTCAGTAGTTTGCCACTGCTTTTTGAACGATTTGCTCTCGATACCTTGGTCAAAACCAGTGCAAAACGGTCTGCTGGTCAAACTCCTATAGTAGAAGCGAAGTGGGTATTTACAGTGTTGACAACACCAAAGCCACAGATGCTTCCTGTCCCACACCAACCTAAAAGCAAATGCTCCTCCTTCGTGATCAGTTTTGTGTGCTCATTTCAGTTGGGCTGCCTTTATGAATTCACACATCAGTTGTAGGTACTTCGTGTTTCTCCATAGCTTGCTCTGCATGTTTTACTTTTGAGGCCAGGTTTCTCTTCAGTAGCAAATACAGACAGGTAAGACAGTTGAGGAACAATGAATTGATTCTTCCCCCCCCCCCCCCCCCCCCTGAGAGAAAAAAATCTGAGAACCGTAGTTCTAGAACCCAAACTGAATGTTATCATTCCATGTAAATAGAATATTGGTACGTTATAAATTAAGAACCGAATATTGTTCCTATAGTACGTCATGTGGTGTTTGTGTGACCATATCCACAACCTTCTGTCTTTTACTTTCACTTCTGACACAGGATCTTGCATGCCATGATGTCAAACTGCCGAGCATCTTCTGTCTCCCATGGTCCCCCACTTCCCTTCCAACGTTCCCACCATCATAATGTACATTAGTTTTCTCCTATGGATATGACTAAAGACTGTAGATTGTCTCCTTCTGATGTGGGCAATCAGTTCTTTACATGTTCTTACTCATAAAAAGCATTTTGACATGCATGAACTGAGAAGAGTAAGTGCACAGACTTCATCTAAGTAGTTCCCCACATATGGTCTGTGCATACAGACTGCAGAACATATCCTGCAACACTGTCCCCTGTGTTGAGTGTTTAGCTAAGAACTGACAGCAGCATCTGGGACAGCCCCATAAATAAGCATTTCGGTCTCATTTTCATTGGGCAGTGAAGAGTTCTAAGTCGAATGATGCTAGTAGCAGTTTGATTATATGTCCATCTTGCCTTTCCTGTGTAAAGTTTATTGTTTCATTAAGAATTAACATCACAACATTCAGGACATTCCCATAGAAGCTGCATTCCCATCTTCAGCAGCAAGTGCAGAGT